TCAGGGCTGCCAAGATGGCAACAGGCTAGAGGGGACCACACTGAGCTCCACAACTATAGACATATATACATAGACACTACATTGGCCCCTTCGGCCCGCTGCTGGGATACATCAACGTCAATGACGTATCCCATGTTGGACGAGGCAAGACTGGGCTCAGTTCCACACAGAGCAGACAGACAGCAGAGTGTTGCAGTTGAATTCAATTCAATTCAATTTAATTTATGTTACTAGCCCAATTCATAACAGAAGTTATCTCAGGACACTTTTCAAATAGGAGCAGGTCTAGACCAAACTCCTTTTAACATTTACAGAGACCCAACAGTACCACCATGAACCATAGTAATGATCGATGACGATCATGGAAAAACACGATGACGATGACAGCAGCAACGATGGGGGACAGCGAGCCACGACAACAAGCTAACTGTAGGCAATAAATAATACTTAATAATAACGATAAATAATAATTAACAGGGCCTTGCACTGGTCAGTGCTCGGGCCCTAATAATATCAGTGATTTTAGCAATGGTAGTCAAGCAGGACCATGGCAGGAGGCTATAAAGTAAATAGTATTGGTACTCGAGTTGAGATTAGTGATCGCTGTGGTTGTAACAACAACTGCGGACAAAGCAGGTAGAAATATCGCTGCTATACTTCTTCTTTGTACTTCAGTTGACTTGAGTAAACTGCACCACAGCCTCTCTGCTGTCTGCCTGCTCCCTGTCTGTGTATATATCTCTATGTTCACATCGGTTTTATTTATTCATGGTTCCTAATTGTCAGAATTGTATGCTTTTGAGGTTATCAATTACGTTTGGGCTCCTACTGCCAAAGCAAGTCAGATTAAGGGCGAATATTTACTTACATTATTTGCGTTTGGTGGGTACACAACATCCTGCTTCGCAGTGGGCATTACATATCTACGTGACACCAAATTTTAATAAAATCGAAGCTCAGCCTGAAGCGATAGGTCCTAACTACGGGTCACGTGTTGGGTCGGACTGCTGAACTCACTGCACTTCACACCGATCACTGCTGACCTGATCCTGTGGAGTAATGATGACACTAAATCGCTGATGCCCTCAACCACAGAGGCTGGTGGGAAGTCATCTCCTCTGAGCTCACTGAGCATGCTCTGTTCTAAAACCTGCGTCTTGTTTTTACAGTTTCAGATCTTGTTCACAGCAGCTCCTGTTCTAAAATGTCAGATTAGACTGCCCATCTTGTGGATGTTTTCAGTTAAATACTCAGAACTGACACTGCTATAAATGACATAAATAAATAATAAATAAATAAAATATAAAATACATTTTGGTGATGAAATGGCTATTTATGTATTGATTTATTTGCTTAGAGCTGCAGCCAGGTCCCAGCAGCGTCTGAGCGTGTCTCTCTCTCTGCTGCTTTGGTGCTACTCACCCACTCGACTTTCCAAATGTTATCGGACTGAATGGAATAAAAACTGACAGTGACACAAGTCACTTCATAGGGGTTGTGGGGGCTGTCGCAATGAAGGTTTCCCCTGCGGGGATTCAGGGTGGCTCAACAGCGAAGTATTACCCCCATTTTTATTGTTTTGCAAATTTAATCTCAGCACCTGCTCCATCGGCAACGACTAAAAGCCAGTTCCACATTTACTCCTCTCGACTTTTCTCTTTTCAGCTTTCTTCGACAAACTTTACTTTACCGTCCATCAGGAAACTCTGTAAATCACAGAGTTGGGGCCGAGCATCAGAGAAAAAAAACTAAAAAAACATTTTTGGTTATTTGTTGTTGTTGTTGAGGTGTCTGGTTCCATTAGAATAAGTTTCTGTTCACCTGTTCAGGCACAGACGTCTACAGGAAGGTCCAAGGACGAGACCACCCCGCCCCCTCTGCCATCGTCAACATCACAGGTACGTCCATCATCCATCAATTAATTTCTATACATGTATGTTTGACAGGGTTCTTTCAAGTTTTTTAGGGGCCCTGTGGAAATTGGTGTCTAGGGGCCCATTTTGTTCAGTTATAGTTCTATAGAAATGAAGCCTCTATGATTACGGCTTCACTAGTGCTACAGAACATAGTAATTATTAATTATAAAGAAAACATTACACACTATTTAGAATACTGAAATGTGCAGTAGCCTCAGTGGATGTTCCCTTCACAGGATAATGCCAGACTCCATTCACAACTCTTGCAATTGCAGCAGTGAACATTAACAACTGAAGGAGTAACATTGATGATATATTACAAATTCAAAGTTTCCATTCTTTAATTCAGCCAACATCAAATTTCCAATATCCAACAGGGTGATTTTAAATTTTTTAAGTCTTACACATTTTTCATGAAATCGTCTGTCAGAAATCAGTGAAAATAGCAGGAAGTGAACTGGCACCTAGTCCACATTTCCCAACGTGGTCCATGCTGGACTGGAACCTGTAGTTCCTGAGCTTCTGCTGCTCAACCTGTTGACTGTGAGGCATCTGTGATGGGGGGGTCTTACCATCAGATTTTCTCTCTCTGTCTCTCAGACGAGGGGGGTGAGGAGATTTTGACCAAGAAGGAGGAGGAGGAGAGGCGGATCGCGGAGATGGGCAGACCGATGTTGGGTGAGCACGTCAAGCTGGAGGTCATCATAGAGGAGTCGTATGAATTCAAGGTGGGATCCGTTTCAAGCTTTAGACACAAACAAAGAGCAAGCATTTACAGCATTCTGCTGTTTGAAACAGAGTACAATTAGTTAATAATGATTCTGATCAGCCAGCGTCAGTGATCAATACTCCCATTATTAAAGCATTAATCAAACTAACAGCAGTCAACGTCAGACGAAGTAAACTCTGCTTTAGCCAGCTTAATATGTGACTATATATTTCTCATTTATCTTTTAACTATCTTTAAACAGTGGTTGTCTTTTCAACATAGATTAGCTTAGCACATAGCATAGGGAAACATAATCATCAATCAACATAAACACATGGAATCAAATGTAAGAATCTGTTTTCAGATTGATCATCAGACCAAAACCATAAGCAGGATTTGAATAAATTTCCTTTAAACATGGCTTCCTGTCTTTCAGAGCACCGTAGATAAACTTCTGAAGAAGACCAACCTGGCCCTGGTGATCGGGACGAACAGCTGGAGAGAGCAGTTTATGGAAGCCATCACAGTCAGCTCTGGTAAGACCTGAGCCAGACAGAGGGTGGGACCAAGTGTGGCAGCAAATAAAGCTCTATTATTGACCCGACCACACTCTGCCTCCCTCTCCTGCCCAGGTGATGATGACGATGATGAATGTGGTGAAGAGAAGCTGCCCTCCTGTTTTGACTACGTCATGCACTTCCTCACTGTCTTCTGGAAGCTGCTGTTTGCTTTCGTTCCTCCCACTGACTACTGGAACGGTTGGGCCTGCTTCGTCGTCTCTATCTCTGTTATCGGCATGCTGACCGCGGTCATCGGGGACCTGGCATCACATTTTGGCTGCACCGTTGGCCTCAAAGACTCCGTCACTGCAGTGGTGTTTGTAGCTTTGGGCACATCTGTACCAGGTCTGATACAAACTGGTTCCACTGTCCTCACTTTACAGTAAAATATATCACAGTCACTTTGCAATAAGAATCAGAACTGCCTCCATTAAAGGTTCCACACATAAGGTCCTGAAGCATTTTAGGTGTTTTTTTTATGTATAAATCCCCTTTTAATTTAGTTACATATATCCATTTAACGAACTGTACGTCTGTTTACTTCCTGTCATCTCCAACAGTAAAGTTTTGCCTTATTTTAGCCACTTTTCAGAGTTATAATAACTGTGAAAAGTAATAAATACATTTTATTATAACAGCAGTCAACATCAGACAACTTTATTAGTCTTTATCAGTTAACTAGTGTTTCTGTAGTGGAGACNNATTTTCACTAAAAAAAATATTAAAACCACGAAAATCATGTGAAACATTTTGGTGTCTGAATCCCCTGAACGCCTCATATTTATGACTTTTTATCTCTCAAACGGCGGCGAACACCAAATGTTAACAGTTCTACACGTTAGCACCAAACTCCCTTTAAGAAATATCACATTTTAACAATTCCTAACGCGTTTGTAACAACACGTAAGAGACTCTAGAAACACGAGCTAAATACAGCATCCATATTTTTTTCTTTTTTTCAAAATTATGAGCTAATAAAGTCTGGAGAGAGACTGCTCTCATTGGCCTGTAGCTCAAAGCATCCAACACCATCAGATATTTATATTGATAGAAAGCAAGAGTGAGCACCAATTTGACTCTATGTGGGGGCATTTGATCTCCAAAACCTGCCGTGGAGTGTAAAATCAGGGTCATTATCTCCTCTAGTGGCACAGAGGAAATTATATATAGAACTGGTAGAGGAGGACTAACCAGCGCCATTAAACTGACCTTTAGCATCTCTCACTTCCTCTCCCTTAGACACATTTGCCAGTAAGGTGGCAGCCATCCAGGACCAATACGCTGACGCCTCCATTGGCAACGTAACCGGAAGCAACGCTGTTAACGTCTTCCTGGGCATCGGTGTGGCCTGGTCCATTGCCGCCATCTACCACTACTCCAAGGGCGATGAGTTCCGGGTTGACCCAGGCACTTTGGCCTTCTCCGTCACACTCTTCACCATCTTTGCCTTCATCTGCATTGCCGTCCTCATCTATCGCCGCCGCCCGGAGATTGGCGGGGAGCTCGGCGGGCCCAGAATCCCTAAGATCCTCACCACCTGCCTGTTCTTCAGCCTGTGGTTGATGTACATCGTCTTCTCCTCTCTGGAGGCCTACTGCCACGTAAAGGGGTTCTAAAAGGTTCCAACAGAACATGAACAGTTCCAATAGATTCCTGCATATTCTGACTTTCATTTCTGCAATTTGTCTAAAGCTTGTAACAGGTTGCTGGCAGTTGATGGATTCCTAAAAGGTCTAAAGGACACGTAACAGTTCTGTCAGGTTTCTGAAATTCTAGATGTACTAGAATAGTTCTAGTAGGTTTTCTGAGGATCTGACAGGTTACCAAACACAGATAAAAGAACTATACAGAGAGCAGCAGAATATTTCTTTATGTTCTGTAAGCGTCTAAACAACTTGTACATGTTTCTAATGATCCCAACAGTTCCTGGAGCATCCTACAGCTTCTTGACAGTCCTGATGCATTTCTAAAAGTTCCCGTAATTTTTGCAAATCCATAAATTCCATCAAAAGTTTATCTAAACTTCTGCTTCCTGAAAATTCTGACATGTGCATATTTCTCTTTTGTCATTTGTCTCAACTTTTTTTTAGGTTCTTTAGAGGTCTAACAAGTACGAAACGCGGGTCGATTCCTGCATAATGTGACATTCTCCTGTAATTTATTTGTCAAAAGGTTTTGATAGACATCTAAGGGGCCGATCACACAGAGATTCATTGCTACAGGAGCTTTTAAAACATCTCGGCAAAGAGCTTCAGGGATAAAACAGCTGGTGCAACTGTGGAGCGAGTCCTTCCTAGTCGACTAGTCATTGAGAGTTTCTGATATTACTGTATTGATTATAATCTGTATAATCTGTTAAATGCGAGACTAAACATTTTTTTAATTTATTCCAACACAGAGTAACATCACAGTCTGGTTGTTCTAAACACAGAATAAATAACTTCCAACTTCACTGAAACAAATCCTGGCGGACCGATCGATGCGATGGATGATGATGGAACGTTACCAGTTACTGATTTATTAACTGGTCTGATGGAAAGTGCCTGCTGAGACTCTTCTAAGCAACTAAGATTAAGTCAACTACCCCCCACTGCACCCCAGCCCACCTATTTACTGGCTTAGTAAACAGCATCAAAACCAGGAAATAAGTTGGCTGTCTTTTATGCACGTCTAAAAACTGCTAGAAACTCACAGTGCAAGAGAGGAGCGTCGTATGACAGGAAAACATTGCATTGAAAACAAAACATTCTACGATGTGTCTCTTGTGTGGTCGACAAGGCTTCTAACAGGTTTCTGAACTTTATGAAGGCCTGGATGAACTACTAATAGTGTTTTTGAAATACTCTACCTGTCAGGTTCTGTTATGTTCTTTAAAGGTCAATCAAACCACAGTAAACCAGACAACAAAAATATATTCCAGTGCACACCAGGATACTGTGGTTGACACTGATTGGTTTCCTTTAAAACAAAACTAAACACGTCTGATTTGGACAATATAGGAGTGGTTTTGGGGGTTATTGAGGATGCTGAATCCTCCACACAAATCAATCCATAGTGATGGTGCTGGCAATTAATGTGTCTTTGTTTTGACTTTTAATTACTTAAGTCATTCATCATCATCATCATCATCATCATCATCATGCAGCCCACAGGATTTACTTAGTAATCGTAGTGCATCTGAACGCCCCCTAAAGCTCCCAGAGGTTGCTGACAGACTGTGTTCTACTGATGGATTTCTAAAGGTTATCGTGAAACCCTTCAGACTCCTGAAACGTCTTTACTCTGGCGTCCATATTGGACCGCTCTCCGCCTGCCGAGTGCCAGTGACCTCTGAGACTTCTTTGTCCTCACATAACTCCCAAACATTTAAAGACATGGACCTGTATCTTACTGTGTACCTTTAAGCGATGTATAACACAAACAGTTTGTCTTGTTCATGTAGACTTGTGAAAACCTGCAGGGCTTTTGATGTTTCAGGTGACTGGAGCAGTTGTGTTGCACCTAAAAATATCTGCACTGAGTTTGAAACGTAGTTAATTTTTTGTGTGTAGGATCCTGAGTTTGGTGTTCTGGTCTCTGCTGTTCCGACACCACAAACTCTTTAAAACAGAGACTCTGCACTCAGAGCTGCTGCAGCAGTGGATAGATCAGTGTGTATGTGTAAAGGACACTGTGATATGATTGAATACTATTGATGATGTAAACATGTAAAAAGATCTGACAGAGTGCAGTGTCTTTCCTTCAAATATTAAAGTACAGTGAGTGATATGTTCCTATGAAGTTTTTGTAAATCTTTCTCCTCTCTGACCCACAACGGCTGAAAAAAGCCCTTTGCACACTATTTTCAATTTGTCGTGCGTTTAAAACTAAATGTGACCTCAAATTGTGTCAGTCAGCTTTACACACTGACTGTAACTGTAGTCAAAAAGGTTTCTGTAAGACATTATAATGAGAAGGTTTCTCTAAATATTGGCTTAGTCAAAATATTTGAGATATTAAGTCATTATAATGACTTTCAGAATCTTTTTTCCCATCACATTGGCAGAAATGGGCTTCCATAGTTTGCAGCTCCCGTCAGAAATAAACCAGCAGCGTGTTCAGTGGAGAGACGAATCACGAGCATCGTCTAGAATATTGTGAAAAAACATTTTAGTTCACTGAAAAACTACAATAAAAACATGCAGGAAATGTATCAAAAGAACAACGAGGAGACGTTGGCTCAAATGTTTATTGACACTGAGTGTTTGTACTGTAATACCTATTCTGACAAATACCCAAATATTATAATAAAAAAAAAAAAACTGAAACAAATTAAACAAATTAAACAAACAAACGCACTCCGGAAAATAACTGAAAGCAAACTGAAAATAAATAAATGAAAACTAAAAATACAAAGCTATAATAACTCTGGCCCCTGTCTACAGTCTGACTACTGTAAAAACCTGGCGGACTCCGCCAGAAGGGGAGCTGCTCCCTCTGTAGATAAAAACATTATAAGGTAACAGACACAATGACTCTTATTTTCAGCTAAAAACAAACCTGTGAATATTATATTACAGTAATGTGACACACTGGAGCTTTAATGTAAAGTAAATCATTAACAATCAAATGAAATTAATGAATCCACATATAAATAGTATGATTACATCAGACACACACACTTTTTACAATATTTACAGTCACAAATATAAATAATATCCAAAGAGGAATTCATATAAATTAATTAAAAAGACTTAAAAGGTACAAATATTTCTATTCCAACCAGATGTGAGTGGAAAAAGGCAAACTCTGAGGGGAGGAAGAGGGGGAGGAGAAGGAGGAGGAGGAGGAAGAGTTTCAGGGTTTGTTGTAACCAAAGATCCCAACAGGAAAGTGTTTGACGTGAGTCGGCCACTGAGCAGCGAGCTGGAAAAACTTCACATCATTCCACTCCACGCCGTCTATAGAGACTGAGAGAGAGAATAAGATAGGATGGGATAGGATGAGATAGGATAGGATAGGATGGGATAGGATAGGATAGGATGAGATAGGATAGGATAGGATAGGATGGGATAGGATAGGATGGGATAGGATATATCTTTATCATCTTCGGCTCTCAATCTGAGATACATCATAAAAGCAGTTAGTAGGT